TTAGATCGTCGAGTCCAACTCCCTGCCCTGGGCAGGAAGCTGGGGTCAGATATTCAGGCCTCCCTGCATCCACTGCTGGAACAAGCTCGTTGCATCACCCGACCTGGGTGGCTGTTCCTTGAAAGGAAAGACAGTCTCAGGAAATGCAGGTCATTCTTGTGCATGTCCCACTCCATGTTTCTAAGGCGCTGAACTGCCCAATTTGTGGCTATCGCAGATCTGCAGCAATGGTTTTCCGTCCTCGGTGCTGAGAGGAGGGCCCTGCAATGCAATGTGCAGCATGCAGCGGGCGAGCAGTGCTGGAGAAGTATTCTGCAATGCATCTCGGGCAACAATCCTCATTCACAACTATAGAGATACAATGGGCTGGCATTTTATTCGAAGGATGAGGTAGGGGGGAATGAGGAGGATGCTGAAGTGGAGGAGCAGAATGGTGGACGAAGGCAAAAAGAGAAGCAGGAAGAGAAAAAATGGAGGAGAAGCATGTACAGAGACAGGAGTTGGGAAAGAACGAGGCATGGGAAGAAGATAAAGAGAGAAAGGTGAACCTAAAGAAGGCAAGGGGAGTCAGGCGAAGGATGGGTGCAAGATGGAAAGAGTCCAAGGACAGCCTGCGTGATGGAGAAGAGATCATGAGAAGTGGAGGTGAAAGGGGTAGGCACAAGAGAGAAGAGACTGAGCAGATCTCCCCACCTTAGCTAATAAGCATCGGGAGCTTTCTCAAGAAAGAGCAGGGGGCAGGAAGGCATCCCTAAACAGGTGGTTTACTTCTTCTGCCTCACTCAGCTGAGGGCAAAGTGCCTTCAAAACCTGGTGAAAAAAGGATGCCAATGAGGGCTTTCCCCACGTGGGAGGAGGAGCGATAGACACCCTCCATGCCCAAGCACTTTGCCCCCTGGAAGACTATGGGGTAACGTGGTGCGGCACTGTGGGAAACAGCTGTAGCAAAGGCAGGGAGGCCTCAAAACTCATAGAAGAGAAGATGTCTTTTATTAGACCAATTAGACACTTGCCAACGAAGTATTTTTCTATGTGCATGAAAGGCAGGAAAGCATCTTTGCCTCTCCAAGGCCAAAAGAGGGAAGCGCTCTGATGGGTTACTGCTCTTCCTTCTGATCAGGCGAAAGGCTCCTCTTTCCATGAAGGGACATATATTCTCAACCCCCGAGAGGTGAGTTGGCCAGATGCATTTAAAGATGCAGGTAAACCAAGTATGGATGTCAACAGTGGGCAAAATTGATGCAGCTTAATCAGTTATTCAGCTACAGAGCCTGGAAATGGCTGGTGTAGCCAAATACATTGAGTAGGCAGGCTCTGGAGCCTGCTTAGCACAGGGCACTCTCTTCACATCAGGCTGAAGCCTACAGGAATATTTAGCAGGGTGCTTTTAAATGAACCCATGGCAAAAAGTTAATGTCACACACCCAAACGAGAGGCCAGTTTCTCCATTGATGCAATTCACCGTCTGCCTAGGAATCATGCCAGCAGTGAATACAACTCAACGTGCCTCATATGTCCAACAATGAAGTCACTTGTTGTGGAACAAATGTAATCCTTCGGGGACCCACTTACCTTGAAATAGCTCATTGACTTGAGAAATAATGCACATCATCAAGTATATGGCCATATGGCATCCACTTCTAGAAGAGGCACAACCGGTAATAGGACAAAGGTACAATGCCGTTGACCACTTTTCTCATCACATTGACGTTGGGTGCGCTTAATGAAGAAAGGTATTCAGTCTACAATGCTCAAGGACATTAAATGGATGCAGCTATTAAATGGACCACGCTAGCAAAAAGGATCAAGATGTGGTGTAGAGGCCAAAGTAAGGCATTGTGTAGCACGCAGCACATGAGCCGTGCGAGTGAAATCTTCCCATACACACCTCAGGCAACAATTGTAATTCAAAACTATAAAGTGAATGAGAAAGACGAAGAAAGAGATGTCCTGATCAACATGAACAGCTGCGCAGTGGATGCATTTTTTATGGGGTAAAGATCTACTACTTATTGAGTCAACAGCAGGCTTTCCTTTGATTACACTGGGCTTGAATCTATCAAAAACACGCACAAACTCCTTTGCAATGAGTCTATATTAAAGGCATGCAACTGCAAATGTCTCGAAGGTTCTCCACTTAACAGATTTTTGTACTGCGCATTAAAAATCAATACCACTGCCAAGTACATTGTGTTTGCTGCTTCTCTTTTCAGCACTGAGGAAGGGAAACCATTGCTGCAGGCCTGGGCTGCCCACAAATCTGGCCATGCAATGGCCTGGAAATGCAGAGTTGGACACAAGACAATCCCCACAGAACTGCCCACGTGCCCGAGACTGTCTTTCATTTCGGTGAATCGTCACCCAGATAAGGTGATACAACGAGCTCAGAAATCCAGTCGTGGAAGACTCTTCTTTGGCTTTGACACCCTCCAGCTGTGAAAAGTCATGTTCTGTTGTCATGATTTGGTTCCTAATCTCCACCCTGCATTGAAACACTGAGCAGGGATCACCTGTTAGTGCCAAGAGGGCAAATCCCATATTCCTTTTTGCGGTGATGACATGTTACACATGTTTAGTTGCCTCCAGCTGTCTAAGCCAGCAGCCAGCACCATCTCCCACGGAGAACCCTTGCCAGAGTTCCCTGCTAGAAAGTTAAACGACGTGAAAGCAATGTATTGGCATCCACCTTACTTAACTGGGATGTTGCATTGGTGACAAACCAAGCCATTTTGCTGTTTCTCTCTACTTCCCTTTTCAAAGAATGAAAACTTATTAGAGTAGAAACATTTCATAGTCCCGCAGCTCAAGTCAAAGGTTAGTACGGTCAAGGCACACCAGCTTCGGTAGCCAATTCCACCAAGGGATACGAGGCGGCTAGTGTCACATATGACCATCTGGCTCCCAAGACTGAACTACTAAGTTCCTATTTACAACTAAAGGTGCATATATGAATGTATAGAAAGGACCCTTAGCCCCTTTGTCCCTGGGACTCATACTTAAACTGAGAGCTTTGAATGCCACAGGGTTCATAGATTCATAGCTGTGAGGGGCTGGAAGGGACCTCACGAGATCATCAGGTCCAGCCCCCTTGCACTTTGAGTTCAGTTAATAGCAAAACAGAAATGCTTACAGTTTCTGAGCAGACTTTAACTGTGCACATGACCCTCATTGCTCTAGCAGCAGAGTATCTTCCAATCACCAGTGTATTTTATCTTCCCTGTAAGGCAGGGGAATATTATCATCTCCATTTAACAATGTGGATCAACTTGACTTGCCCAAACTGAGGAATAAAGTCAGTGGCTGATCTGGGATCCAAACCCAAGTGTCTTAAATCCTGGTGCAGTAACAAGTCCACTAGGGTCCTGACATGAGTAAAAAAATAATCCATTGGCCATTTTATTGTGACAAGATGCATCCTCAAACTCTTTCCAGACCACCTTTCAAGGCTTCCAGAAGGGGTGTAAGCGTATAGTTTTTCCTTCTTCTGAACTAAGCTGCAGTAAATTGAACGACAGCTGCTGATCACCAGAGACCCTGGAGAGTATATTGCCGCGTGGCTCTATGTCTCGTGGCACAATGAATCAGCTGAGCGGTGATCAAAATCAGCAGAGGACAAAGTAGGTCTTGGGCAACTGGAAAGGTTCTGCATTAGTTGGGGAAGAGCAGATGGGGGTGTTTGAGGAGCATAGAAAGGATCTGTTTAAAGACAATTCAAGAGCACTTAGTGGGCATGTCTACACTTCTATTAACGCGCCTTAGATACTGTTCAAGGGATGTACTAACTAATAATAAAGTTCAAATAAAGTTCGAAATAAGTTCAAATAAATTACTTAACTAAATGCACAGTACCTAGAGTTACTGCGCAGTAGCACCGGTGCACCTTTTTTTAGTGACGCTTACTGCACGTTAGCCTAATAACACTGCGCAGCAGGCGATTAGCACAGCTTTTGCCGTGATATGCTACTGCACAGAGCTATTAGGCTAATACGCAGTAAGCATTTCATATAAATGCCCCCGCTAACATTCACAGACACCACTGCAGTATATCTGCAAACTTTCTAGGGATTATTTAAAGGCAAAGGCAGGTGCAGCACAAGGACTTCACACAGGCAAGAAGACAAGGCAGTCCAACATCAAATTGAGCACAGGGGCTGTGATATGCGCGGGGGCAATCAGACTCAACCATGGGCAGTGAAGAGCATTGGGGCACCCTGGATTCGAGGCCTAAGAACAGTTTTATTGTTTTAAGCTTGTAGAAAAACAACAGTAGGAAGTCAAATAAACACTAGATGGGGGTATGGAAACAGTACGGTCTCAGTCTTGAAGGTATTGTGTTTTAATCCCCGATGGATATGATGGGCAAAGGGGCTTCTCCCACTGGCAAATTCAAATTAAGTGATTTTTTTATTGGTTTGGTTTGGTTTGTTTTTCCCCAGGATACTGAACAGGATAGACTTGGCGCTGTTGGGAACAAAGAAGTCCATCTTTGCTGGCAGTGAATCGATACAGCATCAGCGAAGCTTTCTTTGCTGCCTCTTGTAGTAGAGACTGTTTATATGAATTAAACCGAGGAGTTAACTCCTTCAAGCAATATCTACAGAGAAGGCTTGTGGCGGACTATACCCCAGGGGCTGAGCACAAGGCAGGGATGCATCTCCAAGGACTCATGAACAGTGATGAATACCGCATAACCTAAAACCAGAGATGAGTTGTGCAATCGGATAGAGCATCAACCTGATTTTCTTCTCTACATCGCTCAAACAAACAAGCATCTGAAATCCCCGATGCTGCTACCCAGAGCCAGCTATTATACCCAGTAGACCAATTTTTCCTATAGTTACAACCTTGGAACTACCATGTAAATCAAGACGGTTGCACAGATATAACCGGGAAAAGAATTAGACACAAGCTTTTTCTAAAATTACACGCGTGTGCGCGCGCACACACACACACACACACACACACACAGAATGCACAACAAATAAAGCAAGGAAGTCTCCTAATATTTTTATTGTTCCTTAGATAACTGTGGATAGTACAAAGTTTTCCTCTTAAAAAAATTAATTTCCTTCACACTTCCATATTCAGCAAGCTTCATGTGGGAATCCAACACCACAGAATTTCCACGGAAGCTGTAACCATCAATCATAATGCTATGTATATATTATAACAGTAAGAGATTTTTTTCTTTAATTGTCAACATGAAATTGGTTACCTGTGTATAAGGGTGAACACTGATTTTTTTCTCTTTTCAGCAACAAAACCATCATTTATTAGTCCAAACTACGTCATTGCATTTACAACATCCATTGCATAAACTGGACATACAAAGTTTTGCCACCTCTGGTAAATAACAGACATACATTATACAATATATTTGCTGAATACATAAGTTCAAACAATATGGGTACAACAACTTGTTCATAATACATACTTAAACCATCGTGTTTAATAGTTACTAAGACACATATCCATGAGCTACTTTGGGTCTCAGCACAGTTAATCTAAGTGACAAAAACACAATTGAGAGACAATAGCTGCAATGAGATGCAAGTAAAACTAACCAGTGTTAGTCTTAACCAGACACCAAGATAGCTCCTCATGGGTCAGCTTTTCCACTTAGAAATACAAATCACACATCCATCACAGCTGACCATGATATAGGAAAATGTCCATGCAACCCACACACAAAGAGAGAGAGAGAGAGAGAAAGAGAGAGAGAGTCCCCAATGATAAGCTTCCAACAGTCATTGCCTTACTTCTTTAGTATGTACTATAGCTTTTCTATTGGAACAAAAAAACAAAACAAAACCCAAAACTTCAGTGTATCTTTAAGTGCAGTTCCAGCTGCAATTACTCTTATTATTCTTAAGTCTATAACACAGGATTGGACTTCTAGAAATGTAGAGGTAATGCTGATCTGTCATATTTATGCTGTAGAATCAATCCTCCATGAAGTTGTTCTTTATTTTGGCAGCTGTTTATTTATTTGATTTATTTTTAAATAAGTGTGTTTCCTCGAGATTAGTAATTTTGTTGGTTTGAAATCAGTTTCTAGACAAGACGGGACTACAATTCGTCAGACCTGATGACATGGAAGAGGGTGACATTGTAAAGTATTTGATGCCCGTTGTTCCAGGCATAGAGGGCGCGATCCTTAGGGTTGTAATCCAACATGGAAATGTGCGAGTATTTGTTTTGGAAGGGGATGTCGATGTACTCGTACGTGGAGGCGTTGGTCTGGTACGCGTAGTGCACCTTGGTTCCTCCCGAATACCCGTTGGTGACGTAGAGCGTGCCGCAGATGATAAAGGCCTCCCCGGCGCTGCGTTTTGGGTAACTGGTGTTCCAGGTCTGGAGGCTCTGCAGAGTGTTGGGGTCCAGCTTGCTGATAACAATGTTCCCCGCGTTCTGGTTGGTGGCGTAGACGGCCCACAACCCATTTTCATCCACCATGAGGTCAATGTCAGAGTGCCCACCCCAGGCGTAGTGGTACATGTTGTTGTAACCAGCATAATCCAGGCTACGAGTCTTGAGGATGGTTTCTGTTTTCAAGTCAAACCTGATGATTATGTGGCTTTGGTATTTGTTGAAATAGATAGAGCCGTTATAGACCACTTGACCAGTGCCAGACCAAGGGTGAGGGAGTCGGTGAGAGGTGAAATTGTCTGTGTTCATAAAATCCGCCATGGATTTGTACTCTCGGACAAAGCGGTTGTTGTGGTAGCTATCCATGTACCAGACCTAGGTGAACAAAGGAAACATGCGCTGTTATAAATAGACCAAGAACCAATATTATAAGTAAGCAAGGGGGATCTTTTTTCCCCCTGCCGTGCAAAGAGAGGTGGGGTTACAGCTTTGCAAATTCCCCTAAGAAAGGGTGAGAGATGCTCTGTTATAAATGGACCAAGAACCATCATTATAAGTAAGCGAGGGGGATCTTTTTTCCTCCCCCGTGCAAAGAGAGGTGGGGTTATAGCTTTACAAATTCCCCAAAGAAAGGGCGAGAGATGCTAAAAGATAATGATCTGGAGGTAAAACTAGGGAAGCTTGTCTCGGAGAAAAGACTGTAGTTTTTCCCCTTCTGTGTCTCGCTACACTTGTGAGAAAGGCGGGCCAATGTGTGAAAAGACTCTTGCTGGCTTCCCTTGTTCGAGGAGCGTAGCCGGCTAGCTCAGCAACAGAGCACGCATCCTGCTTATTCAGAGAGTGGCAGAGAGGCCGGCAGTTATTGCTACAGCATCTTCTTGCAGAGAGATACCAAGTGTCCAAAGAAATGCAAAGAAAATTGCAAAGGGAAGGGCTTACACTCGAAAGGGGTTGCATCTGGAGTGTGCCACCAACAATCAACTGCCACCCCCCGGCAAAAAACCCAGACCCACCGTCTAAAAACCAACTCAAGGAATTAATTTGTGTGCAAAGGCTTCCCAAGATGGCTAATATCTTCCCAGCAGCCTCTCAGTTTAAGCTGTTGCCTTGAAGTACCAGGTGGTTGTCACTGTCCTTTGAAAGGACAATTAACATCGGACTGGATAAAAACCAGTATATTAGGCTGATGCCGCCTTTGCTTCCCGTAGGCCTCATCATGGCCGCATTTATTAAATTATATCATCTGTTGTGTGGAACTCCATTAATTTGGCACGCAGAAGAATACGAACGCAATCGCTCATTGTCACAGAAACGGATTGG